AGTTCCTCTTTTCGTTGTTCATCCCTGAACTGCACTTCACTGCACTGGTTCATATTCTGCTTCACCATCACCATTGTTCTCTCCCTGCTCTATCAGCTTCCATGTGCTCGTCGAAATCCATTCCTTGTCCTGTTTCTAACTCTTCCTAGCACAGTTATACAGATTTCCTTTCACGTCTCTTTCAAACAGTTCCAGAGTTCTTCCACTCAGGTCTCCTATGGGATGTTGCTCAGTACCTCTCATCTTGTCCTGATGGCTGACGTGAGGATGTCATTTGTAGTTTCATCCTTCAGTTCAGTTTCTGTTCTGGGTGTTCAACGTGAACTGTGGTCTATCACTAGCTTCTTTCGAGGCTTTCAACTTGATTTTGAAGTTAGGTTCCTTGCACTAGACAGTGAGTGGTGTGAACCTACCTGCATCTGCTCCCCTTCTTCATCTTGTGTCCAGTAGGCTGCGTCTCCATCTCCACTTTCTTCACATTGAGATGAAGTCGATCTGATTCTTGTGTGTCAGGTGTCTGATGAAATCCATGTCGCTCACTTTGTCAATATCCTTTTGTTTGTACACATTGCCTCGCCTCCAATCACCAAGTCGTTGAATGCACAGAAATCTGCAAACAGTTCTCCATTACCACTCATCATTTCACTGATCGCGTCTCTACCCATGATGAGTTCTATTCCTCCTTCTTCTCTTGATATGCATTACTTTTGGATGCGTAGCATAGCATTGGCATTGTATGATAGTACTTTCCTACCTTTGGAGATGAATTCATCTTGCTGTCATGATCCTGATCCTGCAGGAGGAGATTGGTTCCTACTGCATGGGAGAGAGCCTTCGATGCTCTTGGAGACATCATGATAGTCACTGAAAAACTCTGTGTGCTCGTGGTTGCCATGTGGGTGACAATATCGGAGTAGATCATTGACTCTCCAGTTGACAGTTTGGAGAGTCCACTTCCATTCCATATGCAGATTACTTTTACTTTCATCGAGAGAAGAGAAGGCGTACCGTCCATTTGGCTTCCCGAAGGCTTTCACCAGCAGGCGTCATTTAGTCTCTCTGATTCCAGAGAGGAATATTTTTTTATTTTTTCTGTGCTTTGAAATCTCTTTAGCGATTCGATTGGTTTCAAGCGGTGGGGTTGCTAGCCCTATGCCCAACCTTCCCTCTTTATCCGGGCTTAGGACCGGCTAGTAAACTAGTCAACTAGGTGAGGTTATCTAACACAACAGAAGTTGTAAATACTGAATCTCTCTTCTACATGATCAGGAATACCGCTGACAACTCCTTATTATTCTGAGAAACCATACGGCATGCAACATAGTACGCTACTCAGTATGAGCCAGGTCCCTACGCAAACATGTTAATCGGATGAATAAATAGTTGCTTAGTTAAGTTACACACTCTACCTACTTACTTTCCCATAGACTATGATCCTGTTGTCTTCTTTGTCTTGTTCTGTGATGTTTCCAAGCCTAATCTAATGTTCGAATAGCATTTCATATGTTAACAGAAGGTAGTTGCCTCCACTTCTTTGTATGTCAGTCACTCTAACATGCATACTGAACATGCATTCTAGTTCGCGTTAATGATAATGTGAGGCTGACACCTTAGTTAGCTGGTGTGAAGTTAAACAGTGGATTCAGATTTATTTTACAAGTACTGTCAATAATTTAGATTTGTGTTGTGACCACTGCGTTCAACAGTGATTAACTCCTTTCTGCCCATTACTCTGAAAAACCTCTCATAAGGCGGTTCCAGTAGTCTTCAAGCCCCATTGTTTTGGATAGGAATATAATAAATTAGCAAATAGTTGAGGTACACATACCTGACTGTAGTGTTGTGAGATGGGATGATCTCATAGTTTACCCATAAAGCGTCGCACATGCTGCACGCAGTTATGATGTCCGTTCAAGTGATTTCGAACACAGGTGTATCGCTGTCCCGTTAAGTAACGCTGCTTGGTATTCAAACATACTCCCAGGTAAACTGTTTTGTTTTTTACTCTACTCTTTACTATTCTTTGTTGTCATCAGCATTGTCCTTAAAAGTCTATGAAATGTTTCAAATACACCGTCACAAAAAGGATAACAAGTAGTAGTTCTTGTGTTTCCAACTCAAATTACTTCTGTTAGTAGCTGAAATTCAACTACTCCTATGTAGTCAACTCTTTAGGACAAACTGTGAGGATCCTTTCACAAAGCACAAAAGATCAACCACCAGTATGGCTAGGGAAACGAGAGATAAAGAAGATCACATGTTCTGTCTAGTCCCATCTAATTGACGCTGGTCATAATGTTGACATTAAGTCCACTTTCTCAGTAGCCCACAAGATACCAGTTCAAATGCCATAAGCAGCGAGAATTCGCCTTATGTTGGTCTTGGTGACTAGTAGTTGAATCCAGGACTTGTGTCGTGTCTGATTTACGACTCGCCAGGTGTATGTACCTGCACAACAGTTAGTGATGCTGTTCTCAGTCAGAATCTAACCCACTAACAACAGCTTTAAACGCCAGAGCGTTATCCACTAAGCCACTGGGGCACGATAGCCACCTCTTGTGAAAAAGCTATCACTCGTAGTTATGATATTACTATTTATTGTTGTTATGATACTTGTAACTTACTGTTGCTGTACACGGTTGAATTGCTATCCTACCCTAGTGGCCTAGTAGATAGTGCTCCGGCGTTCGGAGATACGGGTAAGAGGTTCGAGTTCCAGTGGAGACAGCATCACTCACTGTGGTGTAGGCACATACAGCTGGAGAGTCCTAAGTAGGACTAAACGCGAGTTCTGGGTTCTTCTGCTAGTCACTCACATCATTATAACATCATGAATATCCAGCAGCATCGAGGCATAGAAGCCCATATCTCAACAGTGGTCGAGCAATTCTGCCCTGTATAACAACGGGAAATTACAAGTATCATAACACGGATCTAAACTAATAAAGCTATTGCAATGAAAATCATAGAACCTGAACTCTTTAGACAAAAAAATCGAACTCTCCACTTTTCTTCCGTGGCTACTTGTACAGATGGAATTTACGCAATTCAGATAAACAATGACACAGTTAACTCGTTCCTGTCGATCGGATTCAACGTTTATTCTTTTCACTTTGGTTTTTATTAGTACGATTTTTATGCTAATAATTTATACATTAATTGTCCGAAATCCTGTGAAATAGTTTGAAACAGTTAGTTCTTTTATGAATTTGAATAGTGTAAATAAAAGATGAAGTTCTTTTCAATAAGGCGATATTTGCGCAGTACACTTCGAACAACCTGATTACACATTTACTTGTCAAGTCGATTTATATAAAACCGAAGAACTGGAAAACATATGGAACAGTTGAGATAATGAGAGATTAAAATTAAGATGAGAACAAAATGGTAGAGTGACATAAATGATCCTAATCATGGTAAGAAAAAGCATTTTATCACAGTAGGTGCAGTGTACAAACAAACTGCTTTGTACACACAAAGACGGTTTTAACTTGCGCATGCTTATCGCTTCCCGAAATCTCAGTGGACGTCTCTGACCACCTCTATACAAAACTCTGAAAGCTATTTGAACATTGATTTTGTGACCCGATCTATATGTTCAGCTATAGACGAAAAGGGTTGTCTCCCATCTGAGCTTGCGAAATAAACTGTCACACAATTTTAATCTCATAATTACCTTAAATTACAAACAACTATCAAGAGTTCATACACCCACTCTACATTTTTGTTTCTAGGCTTGAAAAATGGCATTTAAAAGTACAGTTTGATGAGACTTACGAAAATATATATTTGCTCAAATTCTTGCCTTATGCCACCATCGGAATATTCCACTTACTGAAAAGAAAGAACTTTCAGCTGTACATTTCTGTCCACGCTAGTCATACTTTTCGCAAGCCAACTTTTATAATCCAATTCCAGATCATATTTACCAGATATTCTGGTGAGGGTGTTGTCGTCTGCCACCTTCTCAACTGGTCTACACATTTTAGAATGCTAGCAATGCCTCTGGGTGGAAGTAATGCATCGACAACTTCATGCATGCAGTCAGATTTACTATAAAATAACATATATCTGCTGGCAGGTGAAGCAGTGTCTTTTCACTTTAGATCTGTCATGTGATGTAGAGAAATAAGGTCTATCATTACTTGTATCATAGGTGACTGCTGCATGTTTGTAAAGCGTAACACTGTGAGTGCGAAATGAAGTACTCTGATGATCTTCCAACTCCTTACAAGCATGCGAATTCGCCATATTAACGAGGTCAGTATAATCACTTTATGAAGCTTTCATTAAAATGCAGGACAGGGAATTTAGTATTTCATATTTATTGCATTTGACACACTGTGAGTCAACTTTGACCTGTGAAATAGACTTCAGTGACATAAAGAGTTATCAGTTAGGGCTTTCGAACAGACATCATGCTACACTTTGTCAAACACATCAACAACAGTCTAGGTCACGTGAAATACTTCAGCTCCCTCTTCAAAAAAATGCCTTGCAGGTTGAGCTAACCTTGCGATACAAGGTTTAAAATGACATTTAAAGTTTATTAGACCAAGAAAGCTTCGTATTTTTAAGAAAAATACTAGGAAGACAGGATATCCTATTCTTGCCTTTACTTCTTGTATGATCGATTTAGCACGCACTGTTTTGTGCTCCTCACAGACTGTCGAGACTTATTTCTCATAGTAGTATTATTATGTTCAAGTTTTGTTTCCTCTGTGTTTTCCGCCAAGAAGTTGTATTATGGTTGTAATTTAATTCGTGGTTATCAGTAGAATCTAGGACGTGCGTTCGGTCCTATAATAATAACTGATACCCGTTACACAAGAGTTGAGGGACCTAAAACTGCTCACTGTAACTTTCCATGTTAAATAAACCACAGGAAATGTTATCCAATGAATTTCTAGAAATCGGAAATGTGTTTATGCCTCCTTTAACTGAAGGCTCACATTAATGAATAATGTAACACAGAATACAGATTCTCTTCATTCATGAAAGCCACCCTATGAATCACATGTTTTAGGCAATACTAAATAGAAACTTTACAAAAAACAGAGTTTCGATTGTAGCCAATCAACACTTTTATTTCTCTACCGAAGATTCATTAAGTGGGTACAAATACAACAGTTTGCAACAGTTTGAAAACAAATTGAAAATAAAGTTGTCAGAATTACTGACTGCCAGTATGAGAGTTAGTATAATGCGTTCAATGATACTTCTAATCTTTCTACATCATTTAAATGCTGAGGTCATCAAAATTCCACTCTATCCGACGACCAGAGTTAAGTCGATGCTGGGTCACTACAACGCATTATACAAATGGCTACATAGAAAATGGATGAATGTTTGGACAGACGAATACACACCGACGTCCGAGTATTTGGACAATTTTGAAAATGTAGGTATAACATCGTTAGTTAAGCTTTGAACATTCATTTCATTTTGACTGTTATATGTAACAAACGATTAAACAGAAAATCCATTTTAGGGTTAGATACTATTAACAGGTGTTTTCTTGAGATAAACTGTTTGTTCATCTTATCGATATATCTATCGAAGCCTGTAAGTACATTACTCGACAGTAGGGAGTTTTAAACTATTGTTGTTGGTCGAAATTCCCAGCTTGTAGTAGCAGTGCAAACAGTATTTAAATTGTTTCCATTTGGTATTTTTCTGCATGTCGAAATATATTGCAATGATCAGGTAAAATCAGACTAGAGATTGATGAAATAGTAAATGGCTGTTATCAGACTACAGAACTGCAACATGGTTTACATTGACGCTTTCTCTGGGAAAACAGTTGCTGTGACATTTAACATGTAAAAATATGCAAATAATATCGGTTTACGAGATACGAAGCGTCTAATATCAATGCTCATAAAAACGTCACTCTTCAGTTTCAGTACTACGGTGAGGTGTTTGTTGGGACTCCACCTGAAAAGTTTACTGTCCAATTCGATACGGGCTCAACTGATGCATGGTTCCCTTCAAGGAAATGTTGGTTTCTTGATGTTCCATGTTGGTTTTTTCGATTTTATGACAACTCAAAATCATCCACGTATCAACCGAATGGTACCAGATTTGAAGTGAACTATTTGATGGGTAGCTTCTCGGGATTTTGGAGCATGGATACAATCCAGGTATTATCTTATAATATTTCAAATCAGTGCTTTTGATATAGATAAACTCCCTAGTTATTAGAAACCAAGCATTTGGTGAAGTAACAAGCATATTCAACACTGATTTCATCAGCCAAAAATACGACGGAATAATCGGGATGTCATGTAGAAGTGTGTCAAGATATGGAAATATTCCTTTTTTTCCAAATATAATTGCAACAACAGCTGAGATGGATCCAGTGTTTTCGTTCTACTTAAGTCGGTGAGTTTGCATTAGAAGTGAGGCTGTCCTTTTGTCCTAAAATCAGATTTTGTAATCTTATCTCTAAGGTCTTGGAGAATGGATTCCATTTCAGTCTGTTTATCATATTTATGACATAACAAAACAGTATCAGAGTAAAACTTGTGCACTGTTGTGGAATGAACTAGTGTTATCTACTAAGTGATTCATATGACAAACCAAAGAAAGAAACTAAAATACTGCTCAAATTAACTATTATACTTAGAGAATTAAATGAATGTATACAACACTAAATTCACAGATTCTAATAAAACGATATTGAATTATAATCCAACACAATCAGCTCAAAATCTCATTTTGGTATCACACACAATTCAACCTAATGATTCTGGCTTAAATCCAATCAAATAATGGCAGAAGGAAAGTAGTTCATATAATAACAGAGTAGTAGTTATATTTGAGTAACCTCGCCTGGTTAACTAGTTCACTAGTTACTAGCCGGTTCTAAGCCCCCCTAAAGAGGGAAGGTTGGGCATAGGGCTAGCAACCCTATACCGAAAAACAAATGTAACCGCTAAAGAAACTTCAAAGAACAAACAAAATATAAAAAATAAAAACAGTATTATTCCTCGCTGGGTTCGGAGTTGCAAAATGACGCTGGTTGGTGAAAGCCTTCGAGAAGCCAGTTGGCCAATGTGTCCTCTCTCGATGAAAGCAAAAGTAAGCGTGGGGACATGGAATCTCCGCGCCATGTTTGAACCTAGCAAGGCTGCCCAGATTGCAAAGGAGATGAGAAGGCATCGCATTGAAGTATTAGGAATTTGCGAAAGCAGATGGAGTGGAAGTGGACTCTCCAAACTGTCAACTGCAGAATCAATATTCTACTTCGATATTGTCATCCAGACGACAACCACGAGCACACGGAAGAAGTGACTATCGTGATCACAAGAGCATCGAAGGCTCTCATGCAGTGGGAACCGATCTCCTCTAGGATCATAACAGCAAGGTTCAACTCAAAAGGAAGGAATGTCACAATCGTACAATGCTACGCTACGCACCTACAAATAATGCAGATGAAGAGAATAAGGAGGGATTTTACAGAAAACTGCAATCAGCACTGGACAAGGCCTCAGTTGGCGACATCAAAATTCTAATGAGTGATATGAATGCCAAACTGGGAGCAGACAACACAGGAAGAGAACTGACCATGGGTCAAGAAGCGCTTGGCGAAATGAATGAGAATGGAGAATGGTTTGCAAAATTCTGTGCATTCAACCATTTGATGGTTGGAGGCACCGTATTCAAGCACAAGCATATCCACTTAGAGACATGGATTTCACCAGACACCACCACACACTAAAAATCAGATCGACTTCATCTCAATCTCAAGAAAGGGGAGACGCAGCTTGCCGGACAGAAGCGGAGCAGATGCAGGTTCACACCACTTACTATCTGCTGCAAGGAACCTTCCAAATCAAGTTGAGAACCTTGAAGAAAGTCGGTGATAGACCACGGTTCAAGTTGAACACCCAGAACAAAAACTGAAGGACGATACTACAAAGAACATCTTCACGTCAGCCATCAAGACTAAATGTGAGATATCAAGCAACATCCCTGAAGAAACATGTGTGGATGAACACTGGAACTCTTTAAATGCCATGTGGAGAGGAACCTGCATAACCGTATTAGGAAGGAGAAAGAAAGAAGATAAGAAATGGATCTCGACGGACACATGTAAGCTGATGGAGAAGGGAGAGGGCAATGGTGATAGTGAAGCAGAAGATGAACAGTGCAAGGACGAATGACTAGAGGAGAAACTGAGTACAACGTAATAGACACTGGACAAAGAGGTGAAGAGGAGTGCACGCAAGGACAAAAGACACTTCTACGACACGCTGGCAAGTGAAGCAGAACAGACTGCAGGTAGGAGAGACCTAACAACACTGTATCGAATAACCAGGTTGCTATCTGGGAAGAGATCAACACAGATGAGACCAATTTAAGGTGATGGAGGAAATTTAATTACCAAAGAAGAGAAAAAAAGGAAACGATGGGCTGACCACTCCAAAAAACTCTTGAATCGACTACCACATGCACTTCGTCCAGAAATATCACCTACAGCCACAGAACCACCAATGAACACAAACCCTCCGACGAAAGTCGAAGTCCTGAATGCCATAAGGCTACTGAAATGCGGGAAAGCAGCAGGACCAGATGGAATCCTGCCGGAAGCACTGAGGACAGACGCAGGGATAACTGCAGACATGCTCACATCACTATTGTAGAAGGTCTGGAAGGAAGGAAAGGTACCTACCTATTGGAAGAAAGGCCATCCTGTCAAACTCCCGAAGAAGGGCGACCTAAGTTTTTGCAAGAACTGGCGAGGAATCATGCTCCTGTCCCTGTCCACCCCAAGCAGAATATTAGGCCGCATCAGCCTGGAGAGACTAAAGCGTGCGCTGGATTCAAACCTACGACAGGAACAGGCTGGATTCAGGAAGTTTAAATCATATGCGGACCAAACTGAAACACTACGCCACGCATCATCATAGAACCGATCATAGAATGACGGTCAACTCTCTACCCAAACTTCGTCGACTTTGAAAAGGCCATCGACAGCGTCAACAGAGAAGTAATTTGGCAACTGCACCAACACTATGGAATGCCACAAACCTTTATCAACCTCATTCAACAACTATACGAAGACACCACGTGCCAAGTAATTCACAATGGGAAGCTCAGTGACGTCTTTGAAGTAAAGATAGGAGTAAAACAAGGCTGTCTACTATCACCGATCATCTTCCTGATTGTAGTGGACTGGATAATGCAACAAACAGTGAGGAGCGAGAAGAGGGGGATACGCTGGACCGGGCAGAAGATCCTAGAAGATTTGGATTTCGCCGATGACTTGTGTCTAACGTCACACAAACTCCGACACTTGTGGGCATGTTAGAGCCTATGGTGAGATATCCGGGGAGCTGTGCTCATCGAGTGGTGTCTGTCAAGGGTGCCCACTCTCTCCATTCTTATTCAATTTTATCATAGATATTCTTGTGGAGGTTTCCCTCTCGTCACCTGATTACACAGACGTTGACCTGATCGCAGGAGAATTTTCCTTAGACATAAAATATGCAGACGACATAGTTCTGTTATGTGAAGACTCTGACAAGATGCAGGGTCTTCTGAATGCTTTGAGTGGGAGTTTAAGAATGTTTGGGATGCATTTCTCACCACCCAAATGTAAATTGTTGCTCCAGGATTGGTCTTCAACGGTCTCTCGTCTAACAATAGAGAGTGAAGTGGTTGATTGTATTGACCACTTCACTTACCTGGGAAGTAGGATCAGCCCCTCTCTAGTGGCTCAGTGGCCGATGAAATCTCTGCACAAATACAAAAGACTCGATCGGCTTTCGCCAACTTACGCCACCTGTGAGGCCGCCGAGATATTCGGTTGTCTATTAAGGGTTGCGAGTACTGCACTGCAGTCCGCTCTGTTCCACTGTATGGCTGTGAACCATGGTCAATGAAGGTGGAAGACATTAGGAGTTTCAAGTGTTTGACCACCGTTGCCTCCGTAGTATAGACCGTACTCCATGGTGTCACCACGTGAGTAACGCAGAAGTCAGGAGTAGAGTTTTAGGGAGAAGTGTTAAGTTGGTTGACGAGGTTGTGAACCTTCATCGACTGATATGGTTGGGACACGTGATACGTATGCCTAGTCACCAACTGCCTAGTCATACAATGTTGGCCGAAGTAAGTCCAGGTTGGTTGGTAAAAGGCCCGAGGTGGCCAGATTAGAACATGGCACCAATGCATGAAGTCTCTGGCTGTTAGTTTAAGCCATGTGGGGTGATGTAGACTAGGTGGTTGAGGTCCGCGGGACAAGAGGAACCAGAGGTTGGGGTCTCCAGGTGGAATCGCTGAGAACCGATGTCAGTAGTGCAGATCTATCCCCACACATATTATCGTCATCTTAACAACGCTATACCTAATCACACCATTTTGTTATTCTTCCGTTCCTACTTCTCGTACTTTATATTTTAAGTGCCTGAATTTCCTTGCCTTCATCTTGCACCCGACTGCCTTTTTACTTGATGTACTGACATGAGGTGTGGCAACTGAAAAAGAACTCAGTGAGTATGTTCCTCACATAACGAAATACAAATGCCTTCACAATATTTCTGTATAAGTTAGAACGCTGATATTTTGTCAACCAGGTGTCTAATCAATGCATCACAAGTCAACAAACTGGGATATTGGCTTTCATTTTTTGACAGCAGTTCCAACTCCATCTGACTAATGAAAGCTATAAGCATGCTAATATAATGCCCAAATGCTCTATGTTAGAGTGATTGTGTAATACAACTTTTTCATTGGTTGTATTAATGAAACACCACAAAATTATCCTCAGCCAAATCAACTCAAAGGACACTTTTGACCTATGTATCAGGTATCTGTTGGTTAACATGTCACATCTCTTCATCACAATACTCCATCTATTTCCATCACTATAAGCATGTGGAAACTCAAAAAGAAAAGAGACCTAAGTGTTTGTGGGAACTGGTGAGGAATCATTCTCCTGTCCCTGTACACCCAGAGCAAGCAAAATATCATGCCGCATCATTATGAAGAGACTGAACGGTGCTCCGGATTACACTGGATTATGACCGGAACAGTTGGCTGACTGGCTGACTGGTTTCAGGAAGAACAAGTCATGTGCGAATCAAATTGCAACGCTACGCTACGCATCATCATAGAACAGAGCATTGAATGACAGTCAACTCAACTCAACCTCAACCTCAACCTCAACTTCATCAACTTTGAAAAGGCCTTCGACAACACTGACCGAGAAGTTACTTTTGCAGCTGCTTCAACACTACGGCTTCAGTGCCACAATCCTTTGTCAACCTCATTCAACAGCTATATGCTATATGATACTACATGCCAAGTGATGCACAATGGAAAGCTGGGTAACGCCATTGAAGTGAAGACAGGAACGAGTAAGACGAGGTTACCTACTATCACCCATGATCTTCCTGATTGTGTTTGACTGGAGTGAAGTGGAGTGGAGTGGATCATGCAACAGAAAACTATGAGGACACTCGTGAGAAGAGTGGCATATGCTGGCTGTTTGACCGATGTAAAGCGCCGGGAAGATTTGGATTTCGCCGCTGATGATGACTTATGTCTAATGCATTGTCGCACAAACTCGAAGATGTACAGGCGAAAAATAACAAATTGGAAGAAGAGGCGAGTCAGCGAAGGAAGATTGGACTTCTTTCAGATGAACGTAGAGAAGACAGGTGATGTAGACATCCAGCCAACAACAACAAACACCAATCACTATCTACGGGAGAAATCTAGAGGAAGTGGTCTCTTTCACATACCCAACTACCTAGGCAGCATCGTTTCAACTACAGGCGGCACAGATGAGGATGTCGAAACCAGGATCGGAAAAGCAAGACAGGCCTTCATTCATTGACTTGAAAGCAGTGTGGAGATCTGGTGCACTCTACTGTACTCAGCATAAGGCGTGAACAGCATCCACATTTTCAATACCAATATCAAGTCAGTGCTCCTCTATGATTCACAGACTTGGCGTGTCACGAAAAACACTTCCAACAAACTACAGACATTCATCAACAGCTGCCATCTACGCCTACTCTCACTCAATACTGAAGATCAGATAGATGGCCAGAATAATAAGAATAAGCAACAAGGAACTCTGGCTGATTGACAACGGAACAACCAAGAATCCATCGTCCAACACATATGCAGAAACAGAAAGTGGAGATGGACTGGATTGGGCATACACTGAGAAGGTTGATTGGGGACATCACGTGACAGACCAGGCCATGCCAGGCCCTCGAGTGGAATTCGAATTGGAAACGACGATTTGGGTGTCCGAGCTAAGGGTGACACGGAGGAGATGATGTGGGAAGAAATGAGAGCTTGTGGGCAGTCGTGGGGTCAGGTGAAAAAGACTGCAGTGAACAGAGTGGAATGAAGACGTGCTACTGAAGCCCTATGTTCCACTAGGAACCCAAGGGACAAATAAACATAATAAACTACGCATATGGAACATGTTTATATATATTTCGAAATTGGAATGATGGAATGAAACTGTTCATGTGTTGATACTCTTGGTTCTACTGATAACATTTAATTCTTTTGTCCACAATTAAGACGTCATATTAATGCAGAAATAAGTGTACCAAGTCAGCTTTTCTACTGCGTGACAACCCTTAGTGCAAGCAATTTTACCGGAGTTTAAAATTTGGAAAGTAAGAAAACGTTAGCTGTTCTATCCATTCAATGAAAACTAGAAGAGTTGTTCAAGATTGCTACACTAAAAATATGGTCATTCTTTTCAGTTAGCATCTTAGTAACTTTACTTATACACATGAAAATATTTCTGTGCATTTTGAACAGAATCAACTTGTCATAAGTGTATTTGTATTGAATATATTGACACACAATGATATTACTTATCAACTAACCATTATTACTCAAATTAAATAATATCTTAGTGACTTGCTTATTGTCAGAAGATCAAATTATGGTTCAAACACTTCCTGACTATTTTAATTCGTAACATTTCAAAAACTCACGGTGTATTTATTTATATAAACTGAACATACTTTCGGAGTCACTGAACTCATATTTCAGCAAAGCAGTTTCTCCATTTGGGTTTCAATCTCGAAGTTGTATGCAAATTCTAGGACTTTAATATTTATCGTTTTTGCATATGAGAACACTACTGTTATTTCGTTATGTCTTCTGCATACTTCACATTTTTCCCCATCCAGCAAATCCATATGACTAGTTGAAGCATTATAGTTCATCGCAACAACATTCTGTCTCTCATCCGAACAGTATGTTCGTGATGGATATGTTTTGCGAGTCTTTGTGCACCACAGCGAAATACTCCTGGCAAATTATAACATGAGCGTAGCTGCATTAGCAGATACAAGTAAGCTTGACCTGGACAGTACACGTTTTCTACCTCGAAAGATCATGAGCAACAGATGCTAACAATGCGTGCGACAGTAAAAAAGAAAATAGAAGACAACAAATAGGGAACTCGGGAAGTTGTTGTAAATTATTCTGATCTATCTTCGATACAAAGAGGTAAAATCACTTACTAAGAAAATAACACTGGTACACATAATATATGAATAAAGGTATATATACAGTTACATGACATCGACAACGAACCCAGCAGTCACGTACGACAGTAGGATCTGTTACTTGAGTGGCGAGGTAGATATAATTTCCATTCATTTTCTTTTATCTGCACCAGCAGTATTGCGTGAGAAGAATGGAAAGGATAAGTGGAGATTGGTCAACCTGAGTAATGTTGCTTCGAAATTCGTGGAGGTCTGTAAACTCTAAACTAGAAAGTCTAGTCTTTATGATGCCATTCACTCCAGTGAATTTCACAATTTCAGACTTCATAGGTTCGTGTTTCAACTATTTCAGTGGAATAAAACACCGACGTATAATTCCAGCGTTTTCGAAACAGAATTGAGTAGGATTTGCTTGATTTCTTCACACCCTTGAAATATTCTAATGCTACGAGTGAAATTACGCTACAACTTAACCTTTCAAAGTATCATTTGTACCCCTGGAAACAGAAAGGAACACTATCTTATCACATTTGATTGATTACAATAGAACATAATACTGCTAATTTCTGTTTCATAGACGAAATGGCGCTCCTGTTGGTGGAGAGTTGGTTCTGGGTGGTGTTAATCCTGAATATATCGAAGGAGATTTTGAAAACCTATCTGTTATTTATGAAAATCAATGGGCTGTGAAGATGAGAAGGTAGGTGATTAATACCCTCCTGTATGTATTTTGATTTACAGAGCAAGCGCAGAGCAGATCATCTTGCCTTTACTACCAAAGTTTACTTAAACTAAGCGGAGAGTATAATACTTGTAGTCATAGATAGAATGTATTCAAAGTGACGTCTTTGCAACGGAAAGGTATCTAGAGATCTGAAGTGTGTTACACGTAACTCATATTGCCAAATGACTGCTTTATAATGGCTAGTTCCTGCATTCGATCCTCTCTTATAAAGACTGAATTATTCACGTGTGTGGTATTCGGGTGCTATGATTGACACGCATACGTCAATCTTTTCACCACATGACATGAATTCTTTTACTCTACTGGCAATGCTGAACAAATAAACGGAAGTTTCCACCCGGCATAAAGATGACAATAATAATAATTTCCAAATACTAAAAGTGGTTGGCAAAAAGCTTATAAATGAATTGCTTGGACGAATGGTGATTAACCTGCGATTAACCCTAAAATTTGTAATAATTCCACAACCGAAAAATACTGAACTTCACAAATATAAACATAGATCTTAACACAAAAACCAGCATCTTAAATGTAAACATACACACTGGATACACACACCTCATATAACAACCCAGAATACCTTAGACCAAAGTGATTTCACGTGTTGTAATATATGAAGAGAAGAGCGCATTTTAAAAAAAATACCACACCACACAGTTTCTTATCAAATGCATATCAATGCACATTGTGATGAATAACTGTGACTAACAAGTGAAACGAATTTCAGTTACTGGTTTCAAATGTTTTTCACATATTTAGTATGAAAATTAATGGCATGGAATTTTGCAATGAGACATGTGTGGCTGTCATAGATACCGGAACATCTTTGCTCCTGGGTTCTCAGAAAGTGGCTGACAGAATCAATTCCCTACTTGGCGCAACACTCAGTCATGATGGAGACTACCTGCTTAATTGTGATGCTCTGGAAAAGCTGCCTCCTATCGAGTTTGTCCTCAGGAAGAGGAAATATGTGTTTGAGGCGAAGGACTATGTAGTTAAGGTAAGTATTGCATTAGATATTATGCATGCGTATCTTGCATTGATTGCAATGCAATGTGGCCGTGATCATCAATGGATTGAGTGATGTTTGACCTATCACCACTACTTGTGTCGCTTGAACTAGTTCAGATGTGGTATGGGATACATGACGGAGAGACTTGTCTGCTGGAGTAAAGTGCAGTGAATTTCCATAATATGCTAGACAGCTTAGTTTTGAACTAGCCTTGATAGATAGTATGTTGACCAACATTTTAGATCTCACTGGTAGTCTTAGGAAAAGGAATGATTATTTTCCGACTAAGACGACAGCTTGGAATTATCCGTAAGACTTAACTCGTTTCATTATGAGGTGTTGTCACTGTATGAATTTAATCTGAGGTGAAATATCAAGTGAGTGAGTCGCAATAACTTCATGTGACACTGATCCATCAGTTTTATCTTGGTTCCAATATTATGCCGGTTCAATGATGATAGAACATTGGAATGATAGTAAGCCTTTTTAATGTTGTTGGCGACTGGGCTTCCAGTTATATAGTCGCCACAAGCTTCAGAGGAAATGGAGGCGTTTGATTCCTCAATAAATGTTTGCTGCACTGTTACACTAACACAGGATTTGATTTCTTCTTGGTTAACGAACTCTTCACCATTCGGTGGGATGTCCATGAGTTCTGATTATCATATTAGTCAGACTGAACTCTGTCGTTCAAACAGTAGGTGCATTGAATATCGTTTTGTGTTTGAGGTATATCCCTAGAGCACCTTAAGCTGGATACACAATTCACAGATGTGATCGCAACAAGTGTACGTCACTTGATGAAGTCTGAATGAGTCCTACAATGACACACTACAATTGATGTGACGTGATACTGAAGGCAAATGTGTCGAGCGTACTTAAGGCGAAGATAAACACAATATTTTGCATGGGAAAGGATGTATTTGAATCCTCAGACCTACCAGATATAAGCGCTGGTTAGAGAATACAACTGCAATCCTGTATATATTTTGAAATTTTCTGATCATGCATTTTTCAGATGCCATACATCATCGGCTGAACTTCATTCACTCTCGTTTTTATTCGACCCACCGAAGAGACCAAGATGACGACATCCGGAAATAACAAAGGTCCGTCCGTACAGGAATGGTGCATTTTTAATTTGCCTGCAGAAATAGACTTGTTCATTTGACATCTGGTTGGTCGATTCATATAATGTACCTGTGATAACGTAAGCCATAACTGCTAAGGCATACAGTGGTTCTCATACAATTTCGGAACATTCATCAGTCTTCATCTCAGTGAACGTGAGACTGTATCGAAAGGAGTATTTTCGTCTTTCACTATAGGGCACAAAACTGTTTTTTATGCTTGAATGCACATATGAAACTGTAAGACAACTACTCCTGGAAACATCCGAGCTAATTTGTATAGTCGGGATACTACAGTCCAGTTTAAAGATCCCATGATATGCTCTACACCGTCAATGTCAACGCCACGCCTTTTAAGTTTCTTGTGTATACATACCTGTTGGCCTAATTGTTTACTTCGCTGAATTAACAGTTATCATGCCAAGTTCTTGGGGCGCCAATTACTCCTTTAGATTTGTAAGAGCCAAAAATATTATAATATTCACCCTAATATCCAATGTATGTTTTCCAGGTTTGCTCAAGCTAAATGATTTTATTCGTGCTTTTCTAGGTCTTGTAGAACTGTTTCAGGTCTCTGATGGGTTTCAGTATATTAGATTTACCCACTCGCCTTCTCCAGCTCTGGTAAACCCTTTCAGTGGTTGAGTGTTCTTTGTGGGGAAGTGTATGGTTTATCCTGAGAATGCGGTGCAGATAGGCTTGTGCATCAGAATTGAAAAGCTACAGAAGAAGGTTTGGGATGAGAGCACCTAGTTTACTATGCATGAAGTGTAGCACCGCGAAGTCTCTGGGAGCGTCTCGTGTATCGCTTGAAGCAGTATCTACTTCGTCAGTATTAATCAGAGGTCTTTCTCCATGGTGATTGGAGAAAGATGTGTACCACAGAGAGTAGGATACTTTGCACCAGTGGTGGTGCACGGAAGACAGGTTTTGGGACCTATCCATGATAACAGCCTGTCCGTTATTACCCACTCTGAGGTCACCAGGATTTTGTCGGATGTCACAGCCCTCCATTACTTAACGCCGTCAGAGTAAGGTGAAGTTGGGGAGCTAAGACTCGATGGAAGGTGAGCTACAAAAGGTAGGAACGGCGGCGAACCCTGAATTGCTGCCTATGATTCATCAGGTGATGCAGCTCTGAGGTGAGCGAAACCTGATGATTGCTGTGCAGAACTCCCTGCCGTCCAAATAGTCCTTAACTAAAAATAGTATGTGATCGTTGAAACCCAACTTTATTATGTTGCAGGTAAGAATAGTGTGTGATACCGTGTCGAAGGTCTTATCGAAATCGAGTAAAATCATATGAACTTAGGCCTGGAGGACCCGGCAGTGATTTGGTCTGATACCCGTACTTAGGCAACTGCCTATATATTTTTCATGGCCCCATAAGTAAGTCCCTGGATAAAAGTGGTCCAATGCGACATTGTAGGCAGGTGTAGCATAACCATGCACACGGATAATGCGTCATGGAGACATTATGCTGGTCTGCTGCATGCTCATCACATCGATAACATACCCACTTATTATAGAGGTTGCACTCAAAGTCTGTGTCCCTTGTGGCTACAGTGAGGTCACATGCATTACCAGAAGATTTATTCAAGAACTCTCCTCCCGTTTTCTATCCCTCCACTTATCAGTTTTTGGACGAAATCCACAGTTTGGGTTAGGTGTGCCAATGAGATCTGTATTTCACTGACTGAGGACGGAGGAGTCTAGAGCTCTGTGAGGGATATTACTTTTCTGGTTTCCAGATACTCCTGATCTTCCAGATAAGTATGATCCAGGTGACGAACTAGCATTCCGTGGGCCATTTTTACACCTCCTAGCTGCACCCCGAGCTACTAATCAGAAAAGGGTGATGATCAACTGAGATGAAGTTACACCTGAATCGCTTTCGCGGTCAGATTCGACCAATGCACTATTGCTACTCATGTCAATAAGCAACTTTGAAAAAATCAGAGAGTAGTGGATGAAAATATGTCATTCAAGTAAAAGGTGGATAATCTGTGGTTACCTTCGGTCGTTTAGTTTTACACCTATGAAAAATGCCAAAAGCCGTCCATAAGTCTAAGGTTTACGATCGAGTGAGATATAGGATGCTGCAGATGCAGTAGCCTGAGGTTTAATAGTCAGTCGGGACAGTTTGACCAATCACATTGTGGGCGTTTTCAGGGTAGTGGCAGTGAACAAGTGGCGACTGTAGGTTCCACAGAAAATTCGTTACCGAACTGATGGTGTGGAGATGACAGCTCAGATGGTTTGGTAGTAAATCTGGTTATTTCTGAGAAGAAAGGGGGTTCGGTAAAACACATCAACACTCAAGAAGCACGCGTATGATCATGAGTGATAGATATTTGGGACAGATCGCACACGATCTTGAAAAATGAATAGATAGGCCAATAATTCATCGTACTTGTCAGATAGCCACGAGTATAAGGCTGAGGGAGTGAACATAATGGGGGTGACCACGTTTAATTCATGTATTTGACAAACTACACTTAAATACCGTGATGTGTTAGCCATTAACCTGGAGTATCGCGCTACGAACTACGACAACGTGCTAAACAGCATCGGCGTTTGATTGTGTGTCTTCAGATTAATAAGTGCGCTGAAACCGTCGAGCTCTGAAATCTGACTCCAAACTTTTATTCGGGTCCAGATACACTACCGCCTATTTATAACTCCCGACACTGCTGATCCACCTGTGTCAGATAGCGTAAATATCAGGAGTTAACGCGAAGTATATATCAGGATGTTGTATTAGTCAACGAGCGAGCAAAAAGTCTTTTTTAGTACAACTAAACAAAAAATGTTCAATGAGTTGTTACATATATCAACACAATACAGTGAAATAAAATGCTACATAAGTCCCTCCCCAGAATACAGATATAAGAGGGAATATCTGTGTTCGATATAAAATATTATGAGAAAGGTAAATTCATTTTGAAGATATTAAAAACATAGAAGGAATGTTAAGGATATCTATTATCAGGATGAAAACTGATTGGAAGAGTGTTTATATAAAAATGAAGTGTATGACATTCGAAACACTAAAATAACTTTACCAAAGTAATAATATATCCGGAGATAAAAAAAATTAACAACCAAAATCGTATTACCTGGAACATTGTTAAGAAATAAGAGATTCGGAAGTCCGTGGTGCCCGGAAAAAAATTTTGTTTTGTGTATGCGGAAAAGTCTGACAAAATCGTGTGGTCATGTTTTCAACAAGGTAATGAGCAAAAACGATAATAATGTTACTAGGGAATTGGTTTTATGAAATGTAAATTGTCTGAAAGTAACGTCGTGGCCAACGGACTCTTCTTCCGGATCTCGTGGTTCTGCTACCGTCGCTATTATTGGGTGATTCCGATGTTGTTGTTTCTGTTTTGACGGTGGTTTTCGGTGTTTCCGGTTGCTTCACTGCGGGTTCAGACTTGGTATCCGTGACATCTGGTTCCATAAACGCTGGTTTGATTCTATCAATGCTGACCGTTTCTCGTCTACCCGAGCGTTCGACCGTGACAACTTTGTCTGATTTACTAATTACCTTGAAAGGTCCTTCATACGGGGGCTGTAAGGGTTTTCGTACGCCGTCGTGTCGGACGAAAACGTGAGTGCAGTTTGAGATGCACTGAGGTACGTAAACTTGGTTGTCTCGGTATCGTGGGGACTGAGGTCGAAGTGTGCTCATGTGTCGCCGTAGTTGTTGTACATAGTTAGTCAAGTCCGGTGGAACGTCTGTTGCCGGGTTAAAATACTCTCCTGGCAATCTTAAAGTAGTTCCATAAACTAACTCAGCAGTACAGCAGCCAATGTCCTGCTTGACACTCGAACGTATACCAAGGAGTACTAGTGGTAATTTGTCACTCCACTTGTCATCAGTCTTTACTGCCATCAGTGCTGCTTTTAGTTGTCGATGGAACCTTTCGACAATACCATTGGATGCAGGATGGTACGCAGTGGTTCTTATGCGCTTGATCCCGAGAAGTTCAGTTAACTGTTGAAATAGACTACTCTCGAACTGCGCACCTCTATCTGTGGTGATGACACTTGGGACACCAAAGTTAGAAATCCAGTGTTGGATGATATTTCTCGCTACTGTTTCGGCAGATATATCCTGCAGAGGTATTGCCACTGGCCATCTCGTGAATCGGTCTACACATGTTAAAATGTAGCTAAAACCATTTGACGGAGGTAGTGGTCCAACGATGTCAACGTGTATATGGTCAAATCTGCCATCCGGTGGGAAAATCTTCCCGTAGGTGAAAGAATATGTCTTTGCACTTTCGATCGCTGGCACGCTAAACAAGCTCTGGACCACTGTCGAAGATCTCGATTCATCTTTGGCCAGACGTATCGGTCAGTAATTAACTTCACCGTAGCTCGAATACCAGGATGTGAAATGCCATGCATCTTAGAGAAGACTAATCGTCTCATTGATAAAGGCACAAACGGGCGCGGTTTACCCTTGGATACATCACAGGTGATGGATACAGAGTCATCAAGTGTCACTTCTTCAAGACGTAATGAGGTGTTCACATTGTTTTTCAAATGTTTCAAGTCCTCATCCGTGGCCTGCAACTTTGCCATTTCTGCTAGGTCAATACGGTCACGTTCTAAGACGTTTACGTACATACGAGACAAAGCATCAGCTGCCTCATTTTTGCTGCCTTTGATATACCTTATATCTGAAGTGAATTGTGAAATAAATTCTAAATGTCGAATTTCTCGGGGCGAGTAGTTGTCATGCTTTGCATCAATTGCTTTTGTGAGTGGCTTATGGTCGGTGAATACTATAAATGAGTACCCTTCGAGCATATATCTGAAGTGCTTGATAGCCAAGTAAATCGCCAGTAGCTCTCTGCCGAATGTACTGTATCGCGATTGAGAAGCATTAAGTCGTTTCGAGAAGAAAGATAATGGTTCCCACTGACCGTGAACAAACTGTTGTAGTACTGCGCCTACCGCAACATTTGAAGCGTCTGTCATGATGGCTAGTGGTGCTTCTGAATCACGACGAGAGAGAAGAGTTTCAGAACTTAGAGCCAGCTTCAGTTTGTCAAAAGCATCATGGGCCGCTTGGGTCATGTGAAACACTTTGGCTCGTCCTTGCAATAAATCTGTCAGCGGTTGGGCTACTTCAGCACATTTAGGTATGAAACGTCGATAGAAGTTTATTAACCCCAGAAATCTTCGCAGCTTTCGAAACGAGTCTGGAACAGGATATTCTCGAATTGCATCTACTTCTTGCGGAACCGGTTTAACACCGTTGGCATTAACAATGTGACCCAAAAACTGTAGGGATTCCTTGCCAAATTCGCATTTCTGCGGATTGATTGTAATGCCATATTCACGCAGTCGTTCGAAAAGCGTCCTCAGATGTTGCAGGTGCTCTGTTTCAGATGCGCTAGCTACTATTAAGTCATCTATGTATGCACTGACGAAAGGTAAGCCATGGAGTACCTGATCTATAAATCTTTGGAATGTTTGAGCAGCATTTGTCAAACCAAACGGCATACGAATAAATTCGAATAGTCCGAAGGGGTAGTGATGGCCGTCTTAGGAACATCATTGGGTTCCACAGGAATGTGATAGTAAGCTCGCACGAGGTCAATCTTGGAAAAAATATTTACTTTTGTCATAGAGTTCATAAAATCATGTATGTGAGGAATTGGATACTTATCAGGGACCGTACGCTTATTCAACGCTCGATAATCACCGCAAGGCCGTATTTCCCCTGATGCTTTTTTAGGTACCATATGCAGGGGTGATGACCATGGGCTCTTGGAAGGGCGTATAACTCCCAACTTTAGAAGTTTATCAAATTCCTGTTTTGCTATCTGCAGCTTTTTAGGGTCTAAGCGTCGAGGTTTTGATGAGACTGGAGGACCTTTTGTAAGAATATGGTGCGTCACCGTGTGTTTTGGAGAGGACTTCGTGTAATCCGTTTGAGTGAGCTCGGGAAATTCTCGCAGAAGGATATCGTACTCGGAAGTGTTGTTTATTGGAGCTACGACTAAGTTTATTGTTTTTGTCTCCGTAGCGATACCGGTGATAGAAAATTCACCATTACGGCTGACTAGTCTATGGCGACTAGAGTCGACCAATAGTTCGTAGTGTTGAAGGAAATCCATGCCAATGATAGGCGACGATATGTCAGCTATGACGAATTCCCACTGGAATGGTGTATGAAAGCCAATGTCTAGGATCAAAATTCTGGTCCCATATGTAGTAATAGCAGATCTATTTGCCGCTTGTAGTACCAAAGTTGGGTTGGGATGGCGTTTTTCGGAAGGTGTGGGTGGGATCACGCTCACTTCCGCTCCAGTGTCAACCAGAAACTGAGCTCCAGTCTTCCTATCCGTCACTCGAAACAAACGACTGTGTTGTTGTACGCCGGCGACAGCAGTCGTCACTGATCGCCGGCCTTTCCGTTTCCCGATGAAAAGGTTTTAAAATCGCATGGTAACAAACAACGACGTGCTTTACTGCCAAACTTCTTGTGATACCAGCACGTGCTACTTTTAGACGCAATTCTACTCGTGGTCCTATCACGACTACGGGATCTGCTTCTACAGAACTTCGGTGACCGTCGGTTTAACTGCAAAGCCGTCAGTTGTCCTGTAAGAATGTCTATCTTCCTCTCTAAAGCGGCCACTCGGTCGTTTTGCGTTGGCTCAGCAATACTTTCAACCGGTTTAGGCATCCTTTCGTACATACGGTCAGCGATGTCAGCCAACCTGTCAATGTCAATGTCCGCATCTCCGACAGCTAATATCTGCTGAATGCATGAAGGAAGTCTCCGCAGCCAGAGCTGGTAGAATAAACGGTTGTCTACGTTCCTATCTTTCAGCAGACTTTGCATATGTCGCTTAAGTTGTGAAGGTGTTCTGTCACCGAGGCATATGCTACTTAGTAGTTGATCGACAGCCTTCTGGTCAGATAACGAAGTAGCTTTCAGCACCTCCTGCTTCAAAACATCATAAGGTGTGTCTGGGTGGGGCTTTAGTAGTGTCTCCCTTACTTGTTCAGCCACTTCTTCCGGCAAAACAGAGCTTGTGTATCCGAACTTTGTGTTTTGTGAAGTTATATGATTGGCCATGAAGAAATGTTCTAGACGGACAAACCACAATTGCGGGTCATTAAACTTAAAACAAGGCATAGGAAGATTAATGGCACCCACGGACCCTAAATTCGAAAAGTCTTGATTATGACAGTTTAAGGACATCAGTACAGTCAAAAAAAACATTTAAGAAAACGAGCAGGAAAAATACGATAAACAAGTATGTCAATGCCTACCACAAAGCAGCCAGAGAAATTCTCAGTATATACGTATATCCGTATTCAGTTATTAATGAATAGTTACAGTATTCAACTGAAAACAACAATAATATCCACCCGTGAAACTTGCGAGAGTTCAATCACGTCGGGCTCAACAGTTTGTCGAGCTCTGAAATCTGACTCCAAACTTTATATTCGGGTCCAGATACACTATCGCCTATTTATAATTCCCCACACTGCTGATCCACCTGCGTCAGATAGCGTAAATATCAGGAGTTAACGCGAAGTATATATCAGGAGTTGTATTAGTCGACGAGCGAGCAAAAAGTCTCTTTTAGTACACCTAAACCAAAAAAAATGTCCAATGAGTTGTTACATATATCAACACAATACAGTGAAATAAAACGCTACAAAACCATGGACGAATGTATCGGTGGTGAATGTCATCAAACCTTGGGCTACTGATTTGGAGTAACTATATCTCGCCACAGATGGTTAAAATGGATGCTTCACTTTCTATGTTTTATTGAGCCAAACTTCTGCTTGTTTATTGCCACAGTTTGTGAGAGTCAACCATTTAGAAATCTTTTGATATTTTGTTAATGATTTGTAGGACTCCGGATGGTTGTTTTCAAATTGCCTGTCACCCTTCAGTGGTGATGACAATTTACCAGATGGTAAGTGGATTCTTGGTGATGTTTTCATGGGGAGATTCTATACCGTCTTTGATTTCGGTGAGAAAGAAATAAGGATAGCTGATGCTGTTCAGGCTTGAAAACTATTACGCTAGAACCAACTAACAAATAAAATTTAATGAGTTTTTGAAGTAACTTGGTGTTTTCTCCTTTGTACAGTTTTGTGCTTCAGTTGTCGGACTCCTACAAAGGTAATGCACAGGATTGGCAAAGTATCTTATTTGTGGTCATCTTGACAAACTGTGACACCATCATTTATGGTTCATTCCTTCACAATGTTTGAACACGTCAACCTGTTACCGAATTAGATAAAGCAATCTCCATTTGAAATGTGAACCATGCATTCTGACCGCTGTTAGTTGACCTCTTAACTATTCGGTTGGATGTTCATGAGTTCTGATGATCATATTAGTCAGACTGAACTCTGTCGTTCAAACAGTAGGTGCATTGAATATCGTTTTGTGTTTGAGGTAAATCCCTAAAGCACCTTAAGTTGGATACACAATTCACAGATGTGATCGCAACAAGTGTACGTCACTTGATGAAGTCTGAATGAGTCCTACAATGACACACTACAATTGATGTGACGTGATACTGAACGAAAACGTGTCGAGCTTATTCAAGACAAGGAAAAACACAAGGCTTTCGACAGAGTTATACATTTGTAGCAGCACCTTTCACACACTTCTGACAGGAAGAATCTCCAGCAAGAAAAAAGTGTCACGCGATCTCGGTCAATTGGCAGCATTATGACACAAAACACATACTTGCGAACCTCTTTGATGCAATTCCGAACTGATAAATAAGTGACTTTTCAAACTACCTGACTTACCATCTCAGTTATCTGTTTCTAGCAAACGCTATCCTCTCTTCAAACAGGATCTTTTCTCACAACTGAGAAAATACGTCTTATCATTTGTCCCCACACATAAAACTTACTATGACTATCTGATATATGTTATCTTATGGTCTCAATCATGGTAAGATAATTCGATTGATGCTTTCCTACCATACACTCTGTTTCAAAGTATGATAGCCCAGTCGAATACAAATGCTGAAATAATGTGTGCTAATGCGGAAATAATGCGGGTCAATGCATTGATTAGCAATGCTGAAGTGCGACACTTAAGCGGATTTTCAGGGACTACCTGCATAATTTACGCCCTAGCGGAATAGTTTAAGCGCGCATGAGTGAATATAGGTTTATTCACGCACAATCCCCGCCTAACTTTAGCACTATCCGCATTATTTTAGCAGTTCAGGTAAATTTTGGGACACAACTCTCAGTACTTACGCCTCGCTAGTAATGGTAATGCCATTCACCCTCCTTACTTCCGCAGTAGGTTTTGACTGGGAGTGTGGGATAAGATTGACAAAAACTTCATGAAAACCGTAAACCCCTGAAATGTTTCACAACCGATCGTTTCACTACGAAATTTCCGGAGAAAGCAGGCGAACCAAGGTGTGAATATCAGACCAATTGAAGAGAAGAAAAATCAACAGTATTCAAATCTGGTAGGACTTAGGAATAGACAAGACCATCCTCAAATGTATAAGCTACTGTATTTATTACATGTTTTCGGGGTTCCACTTCACCCTCATATTACCGCCTTTTCCAATATCCAATATCCAATATTGATAGTGCGAGCGTAGAAAACTAGTAGTTTTTGATCTCTCGCGTCTAGTTCTTAGGGCTTGGTTCCAGTTGTTCGGTTTACTCCTGCAGTGGACGAGGAAATCCCCTCTGCTTTCTTGCTTTTAGCTTCGGTGAGGTGGATGTTTTGTGGGTTAGTAGGTTGTAATCTGTAGTGTGATTAGGGAGCTACGGGTTGCTGGGAAGTTTAGAGAACTGCCATGACTCCTGTCTGTGTAGGTACCTGGAAGAGAATAGTAAGGTAGTGGTAAAGGAATGAAGAGAGAATAAAGAAGAGAGTGAAGTAGCACCATAGAGACTCTGGGAGCTGGGTTAAGGCCGTATCGCTAACCATCCTTGCCTTGAAACAGGAGTTTGCGTAGATAGCTACTCCCCCTCCTGCTCTATGTTCCCTGTCCCTGCGGAAGAGTTCCATGCCAGCAACACGCATCTCTTCGTCGGAGATGTCCGATGAGAGCCAGGATTCGGTGATGAATATGATGTCGGAGTGCTGATGTTCACGCAGCGTCCACTTATCAAGAAAACTGAACGACCATCAGAATGTCCAAGCGTCCAACACATACCAAATGTCTAGCATCCGTTCACCAGACAATGTAAGCCAACGCATTTCCTTAAATGCTCTTCCAGGTTTCGAAGTTCGGCTTCAAGTCTATGGTGAATTTCGTTGCGGCACGTCTAGCCACTCAGGTGGTGTAGCTTCGGTTAGCCTGTCGGGTGCTTGAGTGTTTAGCATGCAACATCATAGTGCGAGTAGAGTAAACTTGTAGGTTTTGAGCTCTCGCTTCTAGGACTTAAGGCTTGTTTCTTTTTGTCCGGTTGTACTCCACCGATGATCACAGAAGTTTTCGTACTTTCCTGCTAGTAGCTTTAGAGGTAGTGATTGCCTTTCTGAAAGCATTTTATTTGCAAATTGTAGTTTGGTCTGCTTTTTGGGGGGTTGTACTATTTGTCCAAGGACTGTGATGTATTTCTCAAGTGTTGTGTAACCAGAAAGTCGTTTGAACTGATTATAAAAGGAAGATAGAAAGAGTGAAGTGATGTCGGGCGGAAAAATTGGAGAAGTAAGAAAAAACAAAGTGAGTGTAACGAAAGGTCCTTAGTGGATTCACGAACGAGACAGTGGTAAAGAGATGTGTCATAAACAGGGTGAGATCATACAGTCATTAGAAAGAGAAGCGATCAAATAAGGTTATAGGATGGATCATGGATACAGAAATGATGATGTTATTGGTGGGGGTGTAGTTAATAAAGTTAAGACGCGTAACGAAGAGATATATGACCAGGTCGAGTTCTCGATGATAGTAGTGATAAAAGGGACTCAGTATGAGGTTTACTGTGCTGGGCTGTGCAGAGTTAGCAGGTTTTATTGACTTACTCCGCATCCCAGCTGCACAAGTGCAACCTGTACGTTGCTGCGTACCTCTTCAATCTCTTCTTGAAGTTGTCATCAGACGCAGCAGTGGCCATCTCAGCAAGCAATGCGCCCCAGCGCTCCCGAACTCACGGAGAGAAAAAGTGTGAACGCATACGCGTTTTCGTCCTTTGATGAGCGAATCTCCCGGGGTTGTTGAGAGGATTTCACAGTGGCCATTCGGTAGGATCCCACTGTTTCGGTGACTTAGATTAATTTGCATTTACAAGCCATTATCAAGTCGCCGAGCAACCTACGGTAACTGAAGGAGAAAAGCCTCAGGTCCTCCACTCTGTCCTCGTGAGGCGTTCGCCTCAATACCACCGTAGCCTTTTACGTTCGCCTCTGGACTTTCTCCCCGAGGTTTACGTCTCTTTTCAGGGATGGTGGTGCAACGACGTTACCGACCTCTAGGTGGGGTCAAACGTATGTATTGTGGAGCTTCAGGGAGAATTCGAGAGTGATATCGCCCAGTTATCTGCGCATGAAGTGCCTTACTGTGTATGTTCTGTGGGGATCTCCCGGGTAGTTAGAGATGGCGCCTAGCTTAGTTTTCATTACTAGTCTCCGCGTCTCCCTCCGTGGTGGTGTAAGAAAGTTGCTCTCTATGGAGACAGTAAGACACTTTCTGAGGGTTGAAAGGGTGGAGAGACATGGTTCCACATTTATCCGCGTAAAACGCTGGTCCGCTTTTATTTACCCACTCCGCAACCAATGTTAGATCATTTTGTACTGCGCTTGAATCTGTTTCGGATGTCACAGCTACCCACAACTCAGCATTGTCAGCATAGAGTGAAATCGAGAAGCTGAGACTCACTGAGAGGTCACCACCAAGATAAAGGAATGGCAGCACACCCAGGATAACTCCTGTTGATACACCAGATGATGGTGTTCCCCAAGCCGAGCAAACTCTGCTGACCGTTGCGAAGACTTCCTCCGCATCGAGATAGTCTCACAGCTAGGAGAGCAAAATAATAATAATATATTTCATACAACAAAGGTTAAATGAATGCAAACCATTTTACAGGTGTGATCACTTTGGTAATGAGAGGTGACTATTATGTACAATGTTATGCTATACATTAGATGCTGTGATTTATGGCATATGGGAGGCATGTTGAAGCAGGCTCAGTTCGAATTTGAAGATTATCCGGTCATCGTTTGAATCATCCAATATTCTTGAAGGTGAGGCCGCATCACAGTCATGACCTTGAAGTGTGCGCGTTCGTCATCAGGTTTTGATGGCAATATTTCCCGCTGACGAATGCGATTTGTAGGATTCCATTCGAATGCAGGACTGGTTAGGTAAGTCTGAAAAGTGAATAACAAAAGCGAGTAGCAGGCGAAATTTGTAACAGGAGCACAAAAATACGCAGCAGTAGATTGACCATGATACATCTAGGTGAGTTTGTACCGACTTAAACTTACTTGATAACCGACTTTTCCTTTTGGTGCATGAAACCGACGCGCGTGACTGTGTTAAAGGCCCCGGCGAAATCCACGGAAATCATATGAACAGGCTCTTGGAGGTCACAGCATACCCCTCAGTTGTCACGGCTTGCCAGAGGGTTTGCGACGAAAAACCTACCCTCTGAGAACTTTATTGAATACCATTTACTGCCCACGTACGTCCATGTGATCCCCAAATTCATCGTTTACCAGGTTATCCATTACCATCACCAGCACTACTAGAAGTGCCATGGGTCGATTCCATTCCAGCTATTACATGCCTCCCCATTTTCAGATCGAGGAAAGAACGGCGAGTTTTCGCCCTCTTGGAAGCAGATTACAGAGCAGAATGTGGAGCGCATCCAAACACCTTTCAACACAGGTGGCCCAATGTCATCGCATCTCGTTGACTTTCTTGCGCCGAGCTTCGATAGCTTCTCCAGGACTATGACAAGATCGACGTTTATTCTGCGCGACTATTCTACGTCCAGTAAAGCTGAAGGTTGCCAAGGCGGTCGGCAAATTTGGTTGGATAGTGGATTTTTGTATTGAGGACGGCACTGAAGGCTTCGGCAGCCTCCAGTCCAAAGAGGTCCTCTCTATCCCGGCCTTTCATATA